TAAATTACAACAAGGCTTTTTTTTTTTTTGAGTGTTGTGTTTTAATGGTCTTTCATAATTGATTGCTCAGTGCTTGTTCTTTTGCTCTAATATCAATATTCAGAAAAAAATCGACCCAGGATAAAACCGTGTAATTAGAATAAGAGAATGACTATTATTATCAATCTGTAAACAATGAAACCAGACTTTCTTTTCTTTGAGTGTTTTATGCCGTATCGAACATGCTTCAAAAACACATTGCTGTAACAGCCAAAGTAAAGTTAATGTTAAAAAGTCAAGGTTCAAGAGCCCAACTAAAGCAAACACTGATCTCCATCATGGTAGTGAAGAAAACAAACAAACATCTAAATCTCTGTAACTCTCAATAAGATCTTCTCTAGACATCTGACAGAAATAAAGTCAGTCTGGTAGTAAGTGAAGCTGGTAATGCGGTTTTATATTAAAAAGTTCTCTTCTTTCCCAATATTTAAGCATTACGGTGACATTTGTTTATTGGGATTTCATTGCAGTTCTGAAATAGCTGAAGGTCAGTCAATAAACCAAAGAGCAACACCTTCACGATGTTCATTCAAGTGACTTAAAAGCAGAAAGTGCAAGCTCATCTGTCACTGCAATCTTTTAATTCAGCAACGTGCAGATGCACAAATGTTTGTTGTGAAACAATATTGCAATTACTTAAAAGCAAAGTGCTTTGTGTTATTAAAAGGGCCAAGAGCCCAACTAAAGCAAACACTGATCTCCATGATGGTGTCATCATTTTAACCAATAAAACATCAGCATCTGATCCTCTGTAATTCTCAATAACAGCAGGTGTTCATCACTAATGCACAATCATCATTTAATTAGTCACTTAATTATCTCATTAACTTTAACTCTTTGAGGACTTGGGATTTGACTTGAGACTCGTTTGTGATTTGAAAGGAATGACTGTGTGTGCAGCTCACCTGGTGAGTAATATTCATATATTGTGACTGCAGCAGGTTGTAGCAGACCCACATTATACAGCTTGTGCATTCTGAAGGAAATTACTTCTTTCTCTTTATGAGAAACCTAATAATACAGAAACCAATGTAAAATTATGATTACATGCCTTGATTTACTCTGGAAACTGCCCATGTTAAGATTTGCACAAGCCACTACTACTACTACTACTACTAATAATAATAATAATACATCTTTAAAAATAATCTATAGTTGCATTTACACTGACAATACAGTTTTGTGTGTTGCATAGCTGACAGAAAACAAAATGTAAATTTGTTACAGCCATAGGCTATATATGTACTTTCTCTTGTGCTTATATTATTATGTGAAATATGACTATATTATGTTGGCCACATTACTTAAAGGGGTCATGAACTGAGAAACCAAAATTCCCTTGATCATTTGACATATAAGAGGTCACCACGCATGTAGTGTAAATGACCAATGTACAATGCACATCCTACTACTTGTTTCACTTCTGTTTCAGTTTTTTATAACCATTTCTTACTATGTGTCGTGCAGTTACTGAATATTAATGAAGCACTTTGTCAGCCAATCAGAATGAAGAACTCAACAATATTTCATAGAAATATAAAACAATAGCACATGGTTTCCTGATCAAAAGAAAACGCTATTGAATCTGTTTACGAAATCATCAGACAACACAGTTTGCTGATACCTTATTTAAGTAGAGGATGAGGGATCCTCGCTCTGACAGCACTTTATTCTTTTCATATTTCTGAATGTATCTCTCCTTCCCTGAAGACAACTGAGAGCAAGAAAATAAGAAAACAAAAACCTCAATACATGACATGATCAAAATGCTTTATGTCCTGTCAGCAGATGAGTGTTAGATTCCTCTTCTATATACAGAAACATAACTGCATCAGTTTATCATCACAATACCTGTTTAAGATCACTTTCTTCAACTTCAAATCCAGTCGGTAAGCCAATGTCCAGAATAGTCATGGTGGCATCAGTTTTATCATCTTTGTAGCTGTGAAGATGGAGATCAAGAGCAGATTTTAATAACTGGTTTTGTAGTTTTGCTCCATCTTCTCTGTGTTTAAAGCTGTTTTCACACTAGAGCTTTTGGTGTGAACCCGAGTCAGTTTGACTTCAGAATTATTATACTGTAGTGACGCAGAGCTGCTCGTCTCTGAATAAACTGTCTTTGTAAAGCGAGTTACATCTGTGTCA